ACTTTTGCAAGAACTTTCACCATAACATATGTTATGTTGATCATTTTTTTGTGATCTGCAACAGTGTCCACTATGCTTATATACACAATAAATAATACATATGTGAAAATTTTGATATTTGGTTAGTCTGTTCTTTATTTTAAAATAATTAATCTTCAATATATGTATACATACATGCACTCAATAAATAATTTAATATTCTGGCCGATAATTAACATTTTTTTTTTTATTTTTATTTTTTTTTGATTACATTATATACGTATATTGCTTAATAATAAAAAGATTTTTTTTGATATTCAGATTTTGCCAATAATAAAATAATGAAAATGATAAAAATGCTCAACTCTAGTGTATGCTCATAAATTAGTGTGTATATGTGTGTGTGTTTATTTGGCAACATCTAAATTTGAAGTAATAATAAATAAATAATATTAATAACCTTTTTTTTGAATCTTATGAAAATCGTAATTCTTATTATTATATTGATTGATTATATTATGCGCGGGAAATTAAATAATTAAATAAATAAATTTCGTTAACGAAATTAAAAAAATTAAAATTAAAAAAATTAAAAATTAAAATAAATTAAAAATTAAAATTAAATAAATTAAAAATTAAATAAATGTTCGAGATGTTTGTTTTTGATATCGAAGTTGAAAGAAACACTATGTAAATAAATTTTAAGATTGTTGCCGCCGAAGCCCTGGGAAGTTTAGTAAACGACTTGTGTAAATCGCTTCGTTATGAATTTTTTGTTTTTGGAATGCATATTTTTCGAGTTTGGAAAATTTTATTCCTTCTGCTTTATCAAATTCAATAGAAATTTCGGTAGGGGTTGGATCATTACAAATCTTTGTAAACCATGATCCAATTGTTTCATATAATTTCGAAGCTGTTGGTCTTTTTGAAGGATCGTGATCCCAACATTGTTGCATAAGATCGTTATAACTTTTAGGCGCTTCTTTGCTTATCTTTGGCCTTTTGCCGTCTATTATTTTTTGCGCTAGCTCTTCGTTATGTGCCACATTATGAAAGGGTTTAACCCCTGCACCTAATGTCCACATCAAAATTCCAAAACTGTAAATATCCGATTCGTAAGTATAACAACGATCTAATAAAACCTCGGGTGCTATATAAGGAAGTACACCATATATGTTATTGTCGTTTTCGTCCTCTACTTTTCCTCCCGGAATATTTAATCCAACGTCGCTAATGCACGTGTATATAAAGTCATTTTCATTGTCTACTAAGATATTTCCTCCGTGGAGATTCGCGTGAAATAATTTTTCTTGGTGAATATGGTCCAGACCATTGGATATTGACCAAAGTATTTCAACAATGTCGCGCCAACAAAGTACACCTTTCGATTCGTCAAGAAATTGATAAAGGTTCCCGTTTTCATAATATTTCATCACAAGACAAAAACATGAGGTGTTGTCGCGTGTAATTCCAAAACAGTCAATGACATAATTGCTTCGTACACAACTATGCAATTTATACAACTAAATTAATTGTATCAACAAAAAATGATTTTATTAATTAATCGATTTACATTATTAATTAATTAATTAACTGGAATAATTACACGATCGATAAATTCGCGAGATATATTTTGTGAATTGTTGAATCTTTTAATTGCAACCTTGATCGGTCCATTTCTTATGTAACAGTCCATGGTTTTCTCCCACAATAAAATGGGTCCGTCAATCCAATACGCCGAATAAACTGTGCTATATAATCCCGAGTTTTCATACTCGATAAGGTCAAATTCGTTCCACTTTATCCATTCAAAGAATTCTACTTGAGCTACTGCATTAGTTTGTGTATATTTTATAAATTTATCTATTTCGACATGATTACTTGTCCATTGGCTGAAATTTCGTATAAAATATTGCTTTTCACAAATCATACAAAACTTGTACTTGATGTTAGGATTACCACATTCTAAACATTTTCTTTTGGGTTTAGTAATAGTATGGACCCCTTTTTTCTCTTTATTAGTTACATCTTCAGGATTGTTGGCTTCTCCCTGAAGATTATGATGACTATCTGTCATTAAATTTTATAATTCGAGTATATTATTGAATAAATAAAAATTACCGATTTTAATTTTATTCAATAATATACAAAAGGGACTCTATTACTACATTATATAATCGATTGTTTCATTGAGGTGCGATTTAACCACATAACATTATATAATTAATCGATTGTGTAAAGCTAGCCGAAATCAAAACTAATTTGGTAGATTGCACGTTGACACATATGTGACACTCCTTTATCAAATAAAAAACGGGTTTAGTGTATTGCGTGTATTGAAAAACGATCAACAATTCATAAATGAAGAATATTGTAAAAGTATCACTGGAGAAAGTGAAATATCTTATTAAAGAAAAAATTTTTTATTAGTGGTAAGAATTTATACAAGTTTATTAATACTTTTCTTTTACAAAAAGAATCAATTGCTAATTAAAGCTTAGAGATTTCCATGCATGGTTTTATTAACATTTTTTCTATTTTTTTTGTACTAATACTAATACTAATAATGAGGTGAGGATTTTCGTGCACATTTTCACACGAGAATAATTAGTACTATTTTAAGAACAATTAAAAAGAAAAATTCATTGTTGTGCTTCCCACGATCGAATAAAAAAGTGTGTGAGTATAAGATTTTACAATTAAATCAGAAGTCCTTTTTGATCGAAAATCTACCGAATGATTATGTTGTGTGCGTGAATTTGAATTTTAAAATTCACGCGTAAAATAAATTAGCGATCATAACTTTGTATACTCGCCCCAAAATTTTTTAAAAAATTACATCTTTAAAGGTTTAATTTCAATGGTAAATTTTTCCAATTGAAAAATATATTGGTTAATTTTTTTAAAATATTTGTTAGATCAACAAGAAATATTGTTGTAGAAATAAATTCTTAATCTAATTAAGTTAATAAAGGTTATGCATCATCATTTATAGCAACAAAGTACAGACAAAGTTCACATCATTTGAATATGACAGCCACCAAATGTTAAATGAGAATATTTGCATAATAATTGGTTACTTACATTGGTTTTAAAATATTCTGCCTTTTAGGTGATCTTTAATTTATGTGACAATGATTTGATGACATGAATGAATTTTAATCACTTTTATTAAATGCACCATCACTTCCAAAATGATAATTATTTGATTTAGAAAGCGGTCTTAAAGTAGAAGTTTCATCACTAATATTATTTTCAATTTGTAAAAGTCATACAAGTTATGAGAATAATTTTGATTCACTTTTTTTTTTGGTCAAAGTAATATTAATAATATTAATCTGATTCTTTATGCATTGCAAATGCTGTGGTTCCATTTCTATTTCTACAAAGTTTACAAAAAGAAACTTATTTCTAAACCAATGTTTATTAGCAGTTTTTTCAAACATTCTTTGGTTTCAAATTCATCAATATCAATTATTTCATCATATGATAGCTCATTAGTTTCATTGTTATGTTTGAAATAGCAGCATTTTCATCAAAAGGATCATTTCATGAAAATTGTAGAACCCCAAAATATATCCACAGAGGTTGGTGTTGGCAAATTTCATATGATGAATATGCAAACCTGACCTTATTTATTAATATTTCGGGTCCCAGAATCATTTTTGAGTCATTTTATTTTTTAAGAGTTGGAATTCTCTTCTATACCCAAAAATCTAAATCAATATAGAGAAGTTTTTAACTAGTGCAAATTTATTAAACAGTTGACGAAGTGTAACATGTACTACGCCATAAATTTGTAAAAGATCTTCGATTTTGTCACGAGAAACTTCAGTAAATCGCGGTTTAGGTGGGTTGCAAAAAAACATTTTTTAGGGAATTTGGATGTACTATTTAGTGATCTGCACCATACTTGAACCCACAGGTTCTTACGTTGCAATACAGGCAAACTTGATTTGGTCATTCATTATTTTATTTGTACTTAAATAATTGAGGGCGTTGTTGACGTATTAAATTTGTGCAACTTTGAGGTTTTAAAATTCCTCCGTGGTAACGCGACATATCAACGAGAAAAGTTTTAATTCTATCTATGATTTTGTTTTTTTTTTGGGGGGGAGGATTCAAAGAATATACAAGACCAATGTACTATATTGGTGTCTTGAACCGTATATGGGGCATGCTACAACAAAATCAGACAAAGTGAACATTTATATTACCAAGAATTCAGGGATCAAATTTGTAATGTGATTATTAAAATCTCCCATTTGTTTGTTATCTTTGTTTTTTCCTTAATATCAAGTGATATAGAATTACTCCTATATATATAAAAATAATTAACATGAAAATCATTTATATCAGATTTACTATGGAACCCAAGAATTATAGTACTATCAGAAGTATTTTAAAAAAGGAACAAACCGAAAAATTTGCTCCTTACATTTTCAAAATAAATGATACTCGGACAATTGAAGCTTATCTAAGGAATGAAAGGATTATCTATGAAATTTACCAAGAAGAAAGAAAAATAATAAACATCAGGAAAAGAAAGCGGAATGAAGGTGTGTGCTATTACCTAACAAAAAACAGAAATCCCTAGAAGGAAAATAATATGAAAAATGAAGTCTTATGGTTGAACAATTAATCTATTTTTTCCTTTTAATTCTTTTAGTAACATAAATCATAGCAATTATAAAGCCTAAGATTAAAGTTATACCTACTATTCATAACCCAATAGATTTACCATCAAAATTTTCTTCATTGTTTGAAATATTGTTTTTATATTCCTCTGCAGCTTTGACAAAATCTTCATCTTTTAAATCTGAGGCAGTATTTTTAAGTTGGTAGATTGAGTATTTCTATTATGTTTATAATCAGGCATTACATAAATTTTTTCTGAACCAAAATTTTTTACTGTATTTTCAATAATCACATGATTATCATCAATAAAAACTAGGGGTAGATAAAAATATCAAAATCTGGACAATTCATTCCAACACCAAGTGCCAATAATAATATGTTAATTATTGGTTTTTTTTTTATTTTGTTTACACAATTCTTTTTAATAAACAAAATGACATCTAAAGAATCAAGAAAATAACAAAGAATTTGAAAGAGGGTAAGTGTTTATCATAAGAATGGTGATGGCTATTTCCACTTGTTGTCACTCTAGTTAATTATTTATGAACTGTTTTTATTTTATTATTATCAGTAGTAATAAATGAGTGGCGGTGAACTTGCCACTTGAGCTTTTAATCGAAATATTTGAATATATATAATTACAAAACATTATATTCTTGCACTCTGGTCAATAGACCATGGCACAACATTAGTATTCCGATTTTATGGAGAAACTCACTTTATTCTTTTGGGATCACCAAAATATTAATTAATTGTTTATTGGAAAAAGATAAGGATCACTTAACTAGAATGGAATTGACTTTTAACTTTTGACCTATTGGAAAAACCACCATTATACAATTATGTACCAGAATTGATTTTGGCAATTCTCATTTTCATTTAGTGACAGAAAGTGGATTAGAATTTTTATGAAATAAATTAGTAGAATTTATTTTAGAACAGTCAACAACAAATCTTAAAACATTTAATACTTACCAAACAGATCTATATTGGGTAAAAGACTATCATATATTTGACAATTGCTTTCAGAATCCTCACACTGAAGATAGTTTGATTCAACTAATTGAAGTGCAAAATCAAATAAAGTGGTTAACAATTAATTCATTTCATAAACAAGCTTTATCAGATAATTACAAAAATGCAATTCTAGCACATTCACAATCAATAATATATATTATTCAAGTAATGGGTATAACAATTTAAATCATATATTAGTACTGACATTTAAAAATTTAAAGACTTTATTGTTAAAAATTAATAGTTACAAAACAAAATATTTAAAAAATATTTTATTACCAAACATTGAATTTGTGAAATTGAATATCAGTTCTCAATGGACCAATCAATTTGTCAACCTGGATCAATTCTATCAGACTTGTCTGATTTTATTAAAATCAATGGAGGAACTTTAAGAAATCTAAAACTTTATGATTTCCCAGACAATAATGAATCTTTAGGAGAGTTATTTCAATCAATAATACAATACTGTAAAAACCTATTAGACTTATCAACACAATATAGGTTTGAAGTATATGAAGAAATAATGATAATATTTGATAATTGTAACAAATTAGAAAGGATTGTATTTCATAAAGCCTTTCATTTGGATGAAATAGATGATTGTAATAGAACAGGGTTGGCAAATGAGCAGTCCATTGATGGTCCATTGGTGGTTCATTGGGCCCATTAGTATAATGCTTTAACCATATTTAGTATTTTATTAATGGCAATGGACCAGTCCAAAATCCATCTGTTATCAGTGGACCAGTCAATTTGCCAACCTGGTTTGAAGTATATGAAGAAATAATGAAAATATTTAATAATTGTAACAAATTAGAAATGATTGTATTTCCATTTGGATGAAATAGATGATTGTAATAGAATTATTGAAGTTCTAAAACAAACATCTCCGAAAAAAATTAAAATCAATATCAGTTGATAATAGAATTTTTAATTTTAAAGATAACTATTGGAAGGAAGATTACTAAGACAAATTAATAAAAAAATACGATTTTCATTGGTTGTGAATATTTTTTTTTACAATTATATCAATTTAACATTTGTAGAGAATATTAGCAAATAATTTGGTTAACAAAACATTGACAAGTGGCAAAGACAAATTTAGTCACTATTAGAGCTCTCAATCAGGTTGGGTAAAGAACTCGGCCAGGTAGGTAATCAATCACTTACTTGAGACATTATAAAAATTCTGATGTTAAAAATTTTGGACCCTGAAAATTTTTGGTAATACAAATGTTCATTTTGCCCGATTTTGTTACCATAAAGAATTTTAAAAACAGGCGCTTCGTTATATCGAGCGCCGACGTATGTAATTAATTGTGTACCTGCCTCTTTTTCTAAAAGTATATACAACGTGATACAATCACTAATATATGTAATTGTTTTCTTTCAATTATCTATTCTGTGTTTCAAAAAATTTCTTGGGGTCATAGAGTTAAAAAATCCCTTCTCTCTCTATTATTATATTTATTCGTTAATAAATAAATAAATAAAAGACATAACTTAAAAATTTCCGGGGTGTATAAATAATTACTCAATAAATTCACCAAAAAAAAAATTTTTTTTTTGTCAAAAAAACCAAAACTAAAAAATAAAAAAATACAATAATATTAGTAGCAAGTAGTTGTAGTTTATATCTACCGTCTTCTACTTTTATTTCATTTATTCTCAAAAAAAAGATAGACATACATACATCAATCTTTATTTTTTGTAACTCTTGTAAACTAAATCATAAAATAAAATCTTTCAACAACAACAAAAAATTAAAAAAAGCCAATAATAGATGGCATCTTCTTCACCTCAACAAAAATCACAATCAATAACGGAATCACCTCAACAGCAACTCTTGCAAACTGCTGATTCTTCAACTAAACCATCAGTTCCTTCTCCTACCTCCTCAATATCACAGCAACAACCACAACCTTTAACTCTTGAAACAAGTAGCCTTGCCACTCCAAGTAGCAGTAGTGCCACTACCAACATAGATGTCAACAACACCAACAACAACAGTATTAATAGTTTATATCATGCTAAACTTCCAATCCAACGCCGTCAAAGTGGTGCAAGCTCACAACTTAAACGTTTACTTAGTTTAAAATCAGAATTTAATTCTTCAAGCACGTCTTCATTTTATTCTGATTCAGAAACAGAGTCATTAGAAACAGATTCTGATGCTTATTTTACAAACGATGAACTTCCACCGTCCTCGTTTACCTTTTCTTCTTCCGTAAAACGCCGACCTTCTTTTCCGAGATCTCCTACTACCATTAGATTCTTCCCAGATTTATCAATTGACGCTCAAGAAAATCATTTGAGTGACTTATATATAATCGATGAAAGTTCACCTGAATTTGCTTTTCCAAAAGTTAAAAGAAAACTTTTAAAAGATCTTGAAGAGGCAAAACGTAGAGCAGATCAAGCTATCACAGTTCTATTGCGACATTGGTACCAATCACATAGATATCAAGAATTATTAAGTGAATTATCGTATGATGGTTGGAGTGATGACGAGGATAAACAACCACTTGTTGTAATTCGTAGAAATAATAGTCAAAGAACATTAAGTACTAACAAACCAGTTTCGACTAATAATAATAACGATAGTAATAATAATAACAGAATAATTAAACAAGTAAAACCTAAACAACCAATCAGTGATACAGATGATGAAAATTCATCACCAAATAGTAATAATAATGATAATAACAACAGCAACAGCAATAATAATGCTATTAAAATTAACACTAACAATTATAAAAATAGGCTTACTCCTGTTGATAGATTAAGATTCGAAAATATTGATGAACAATACTATGGCGGTGATGGTAATAAACAAGAATCTGTATCATTACATGGGGATATTACAAGCCCAAAGAAGATATCGATTAAAAAGAAACGCACAGAACGCAGATTTATTCATTCAAATAGTTGGCCACCTTGTGTTTTGGGTGAGTAGGCTATTTAATATTATTTTAAACAATAACGGTGATATTAATATTGAATAGTAATTAGAGATTAACAATATTGTACAAAAAAAGATAATGTTTACAATACCATATATTGACATTATTTTGGTTTGGATAGATTAATAATTTAATGAAAGATGGGAGAAAAAAATCAAAATTTATTCAACATGTATATTGGAATATTTACACATTTCTTAAAAAAATTAATCAAAAAAAAAAAAACCAATTCTTTTTTTTCTTAATAAGCCTCCTCTCATACTATATTATTGACACGTATCGATCGTATTGCTAAGAGGATACTTAAGACTGCTATACATGATTTAGTACATTATAATGTTGCCGTGGAAATTATGAAGGAGCTTCAAGAACTTATGGAAACTCAGAAAAAAATGCCTGTCGGTAATGCTGACGCTGAAGAATTATTAACAAGACTTGTATACACTTTTGCTGACGTTGCTAGAGCTGTTGATGCAGTGGTAAGTAAAAAATTTTTTTTTTGATGATGTCAAATAGTTTTTTTTTTGATATCAAAAATGAAAATAATATTAACTAAAAAAGAATGATTTTTTTTTGAAAGAATCAATCATACGCTGAAACAAATGGTGATTTATCGTTAGAAAATAACAATAAGGAAGAAGATACACCACCACCTACTAATTCTGATTGGTTAATTTCATCGCCGTTATTCACACCTTCATCACCATTAACTCCATCTTCTTACTCACCACCACAAACATCACTTCACAGTTATCATCAAAGGCATAAATCATTTGATAGCGTTAATAATAAGAAGAACCAAAGAGATGGTAACAATACAAAAATCGCACCCAATTATCTCCCAGTTCCGCAGCAACAACAACAACAACAGCAGCATCAGCAACACTCGTCTCCTTTAGCTAAACATGTGTTGACACCACCAGTTCCACAGATTAAATCATTACGAGATTCTTTCGAACAAATTTATGCGGCAGCAAATGAATTGGTATTTGAATCACCTATCACATACATTCCTCCTCCTCATTCAACTATAGATGATAATAGTTTAACATGGAGTAGTTTAACAAGAAAGCAAGTAGATTTGTTGTTACAAGAAGAGATGAATCGTGAAATAGACATTGGTATAATAATGAAACAACAACAAGATGGCAGTAGTGATTTAGAGGGTCGTAAGAAATCCAAAAAGGTATGCAGTTTTTAAAAGCATTATAAATATATGTGTGTTTATTGTTTGTTATATTTTTATATATATTAACTTTAAAAAAAACCTAGTCCAAACAAATGATGAATTTCTTCAAATCGCTCAAAAACGCATTCCATAGTCCTACATCCTCTACTTGTGTTTCACCAACCGGCTCGCCAACAAATTCTTTAGTTCAACCAAGTCCTGTACGCAATACTCATCTACCAAGACCACAAATGCCAGAAAAAACTCGTACTCTGTCATTTGACTCTAATGCATTCTCATTGTCTCGTCGTAGTTCATTTGTGTCAATGAGAGGAGATAAAGATACTTTGCATAGTACTAGCCTAATGAATCATAGTTCATCTGTGATAATTACTAACAGCAATCATGGTGGTGGTGGTATAACGTCAGGGTTCTCAATCCCACATGATTATATACTATGTCGTATATGTGAAGAGATGATTCATAGTCATGAATTGGATGCTCACTCGAGAACTTGTGCTATAACAACAGAATACGCATTTAAATTACAAGAATGTGATGGTAGATTACGTAGATTGATTAATGATATGACCAAAAAAAAATCAGAGATCATGAAAGGAGTTTGTATTCAATTCATTATTATTTATTATTGTTATCGTTATTAATGTAGTTTTAATATTTATTTATTTATTTATTTATTTATTTATTTATTTATTTATTTATTTATTTATTAATAATTTAGGAAAAAAACCTCCCCTTCCAAGATTATTCCAATATCTCTAATATTAAAGATGCAGAAATGATGGAAGGCTATGGCAAAAAGTAAAGAATCCTTCATTCAATTATCGAATTTGAAAAAATGTTTTTAATAATTATTCTAACAAAGTACATCGAATAAAAATATTTAGAGCTGCTAATATTAAAGAAACCGCAAATAGACGTGATGCTATGAGAAAAATAGAAAAATATGCAAGCAAGCTGGGAAGACTTGTCGAAGAAATGGAAAAGAATGCCACAAGAGATGAAAATATTTTAACATATGGTAAACGTTTATTACATGTTGTTAAGGAGAAACATGATACATTTCAATCCTATCATCAAAAATTACGTGCTACAAATGCAATATCTAATATCATGAATAATAACAATAACAATAATAACAACAGCAATATTTCCACATCTATTACACAAGCCATTTCATCAACTGATAAAGAAAATAGCAGTTATAATAATAGTTTAAAAGTTTCTCAAAAAATTTCAAGAAAACAATCAATCTCAAGCCGTATGCTATCAACGTCTGCATCAAACAAATCATCAAATAGTTTAACATCCTCTAAAAATTCACGTAATAACGGTGGCATTAGTGGCGGACAAAGAGAGGGTGGTAGTGGTAGTTCTTCAAATCATAGAAGACATGATAGCATTGGTTCAATATCATATGATTCAGATATTACGCCACCACCGCCTCGAGGTGGCAAAAAATTGATTTCACTTTTTGCTGCAGTGCTTCGTGGTGGTAATAGTCGTTCTGGAAATAATAGTTCTAGCAAAGAAACTACTGGAATACCAATAGCTGCTAACGGAGATAATAAAGGAGTATGTGTTTTAATTTATTTATTGAAAAAATCATTTTTAAAACATTTTTATTTATTTGTTTGATTTTTTTTTAAAGGGTGCCAAAACTAAAATTCCTAGCATACAAGATTTTGAAATAATAAAACCAATTAGTCGAGGTGCTTTCGGAAAAGTGTATTTAGCACGTAAAAAAACGACAGGAGACCTTTATGCCATCAAAATTTTAAAGAAAGTTGATATGGTTCGAAAAAACATGGTAAATCATGTTTTGGCGGAAAGAAGAGTGCTGAGTTTGTCGAGGACACCATTTGTTGTGAAACTCTATTATGCATTTCAAAGTCAAGATTATTTATATTTGGTTATGGAATACCTAATCGGCGGTGATTTATCTTCTCTACTTCAAAACTTTGAACTTTTCGACGAGGAAATGGCAAGAATGTACACAGTCGAAGTAATCCTAGCTCTTGAATATCTTCACAATAATGGTATTACACATCGTGATCTCAAGCCCGACAACATGTTGATTACATCTGAAGGACATATTAAATTAACAGACTTTGGATTATCAAGGATTTCTATACCTGAAAAAAGCAATATGGCATTTACAAAAGAGGATGAGTCATTGTCGATTATATCAGATAAAAAATTGGGTTCAAAGCCTACAAGAACTGGTAGTATTGATTCTCGATCTAGTTCCGTCGTACACTCCAGACCAGTATCGGCAATATTTTCTAACGAGAATCCAAAACAGCGCATTAGTCATGTTAATTTCAGTTTGGATTCCAATAACATCAGCAATAATAATAGCAATAATAATATTATTAATAATAGTAGCGTTAACAACAATACTAACAACAACAATAAGAATAATAATTCCAAAAACTCACTAAAACAAGGTTCATCGAAATTGTTTGGAAAAAAACAGAATCGTCAAAGCTCAAAAGCATTACTGGGTACACCAGACTATTTGGCACCGGAATTATTACTTGGCATTGGACATTCTACAGCAGTAGACTGGTGGTCGCTTGGTGTTTGTTTATTTGAATTTTTGATTGGATATCCGCCATTTAATGACGATACACCACAAAAAATATTTAAAAATATTTTAGATCATAAGATACAGTGGCCACCAGAAGAGCTTTTATCACCACAAGCAAAAGATCTCATCACAACACTTTTAAATCAAGATCCTGCCAAACGACCAACAGTTGCTGAGATCAAAGCGCATCCATTTTTCCATGGAATTGATTGGGATCATATTCGAGATCAGCCAGCACCATTTGTTCCAAATCCGGAAGATGAACAAGATACTAGTTATTTTGATGCTCGTAATAACCGTGCAGATATTCGTAGATTATCAGCTGGTAATATTGAAGAATTCGCGTTAGGTAGGATGACAGCACCTGGTGATCGTAGATCGATGATCCTCTCTGACGATGACAATAATGAACAATCTAACAACAATAATTGTGTTTATCCAATATCATCAAGTGTACAACCACCAAATCTATTATTATCAACAGTTACTGCAAATTTGATTGATAATATTTCATTACATTCACCAACATCACCAACAGTTTTAAACAATAATAATGAACTATCATCAAATAACAGTAGTTCTAGTATTGGTAATAATGGTAAAGGTAGTAGTAGTAGTAGTGACAATAACAGGTGCAGTAACAATAGTGGTAACAATAGTGGTAGCAATAATGGTAGCAATGATAGTAATAATAATACTCAACGTCATTCCACATTAAAACCACCAACACAATCTGAGGAGATTCCAATTAAACATCATCAAAAACGAAGACCATCACTTTTAAAATTAACTGCAGGGGGCAAGTCAAGGAAGCAATCTATCAGTGGAACCAATAGTGATAGTTCATCATCATCATCATCATTGACGGCAACCCCAACATCAACTGGGCCAATTCCGATGACAGGCAATACATTAATATCACCTTCATATAATACACGATCAAGAAGATCAACATTGGTCGGATCACCTAAAATGTATGATATGGAGCAGACTATAGCATCAGCTTATGAAGTACACGCAGCAGGAAATCAAACGAATCGAAATGAGACAGAATTTGATGCCTTTGTTTATAAGGGAGTATCGGTTCTAGGCGATGTAAATCGTGATGTTTTATCAGGAGGCACTGGTAGCAATAATATTTAAAAGAAAATTTTTTATTTATTTCATAAAAAAAACAATAGCCATCTATAACAGCATCATCAGGCAATATCATTACATCATCGCAGTAAGAGATAAATTTAAATATATATAATATGTATATTCTAGTAGATTTTTAGATTTGTTTAAAGGATTTTGGATTTTTATTTTATTATTTTTATATTGTAATTGGACTTTTTTTTTCAATTCATTACAAATTATATAAATATACACATTCAACGTGTGTATATTTGTATGTAACATGTATATTTATTTAGATTTTCACTTATTTTATAGCTTCACATTTTCTTTGTTTATAGTTAATTTCAAACACGCAAACATCTATTCACCAAAAAAAAAAAAACAAACATTCTGTAGTATAGTTGGTTTTTCATAAATTTTTTCATTTCTAAAAAAAATTTTGATTGTGATTATTATTAAAAAAAATAATAATTAATAAAAAAATTTTTTCTTAGATGAATCATATATATTTTGGTGAACAATATATGTTGATGGTTGAATTAGAATTTTCCATAATAAAAATTTATTTTTTTTTAGAATTTCTCTTAAAAAATTTGTACAATAAATAATAAATTAATTGATTAATCAATATCAAAGTGAAGGAAAAAGGGTTTTATAATAAAAGTAAGAAAAACAACTTTTTGAAATCATTAGTAATATAAATATATAAATATTCCAAGTCGTAACATGATTTTGCAATCTCGTAACAGAAAATATCCAGAAGCTATATTAATTTTCAACTGGTGCGTTACAAATTGTAATAAAAATAATCGAACACATATGGGACAAAACCAAGGTGAACACTTATATACCAAGGATTTCAGGGGTCATAAATTCTAACAACACAATTGTTCTGCTGATTTTACAAATTATCTTGCAATTTAATCCCATGATTACATTTTTTTTTGGAACCAGCAACAAAATCAAATTAATTTAGAAATGAAGGTGCTAAAAATTAGTAATAATACCTATCTAAGAAAAAAATTTTTGGTTGGGCAGTATCTGCATTAACCCAATTTAAGCAAGAAAGCAAAGGGTCTGACAACTTTCCAGTTTCATAGGTAGAAGTAGTAGCAATGAGAATAAATTTTGTTTGATAAATCCACTTCTTTATTAAATGGGGTGAATATTTGTATTAAACCACGAATATCACTATTTTGAATTATCGAAAAAAAAAATATTTGAAGGTTTTGCAATGCATTAAACATTAAATAAGATTCTTATATGGGGCATGCTTGCAACAAAACCAAAGTGAACATTTGCACTACCAAGGATTTCAGGGATCAATTATGGCACGCCATGCTGGACAAAAGGTATCAGCAATGTTGCAATCTTTTACAACAATTGTTGCAATTTTTCACAG